AGAATAAATCTGCAAACGAACTCTCTAAGACACAAACTGTCACCAGATCGGGAAACATGTTCACTTCCCTAAAAACTTGCTTCTTACATAACGATTTTAAAACATTTTTTTTAAATTCATATCTTAACATATTTCTTGTTATTTCATGTTTATTATATGTGTCAATACCTTGTTATATATTGAATTGCATTTTGATCTTTTCTAATTTTATATTCTAATTTTGTAATCATGTAAAAAATACCCGACAGTACGGATACTCTGAGATAATTTCATAACCTATGTCGTTCCTTTGAATAGCCATTAAAGGAACTGGGGGGAAACTCTGTGGTGATGGTGATAAGGAGCGCACCTTGCGCCCTCCAATAAGTGTGGCAACCTTAGAGGAGAGTTTTCTTACAAGTAGCGAGCAGAGCGAAACAGGCAGGCTGTCGGGCAGTGTTTGCGAAGTTCCGAAATAAAGCTTAATTTTTATTGTGCACTATGTCTTGTTAATATTTATATTAATGCAGTAAGAACATAATCTGTGATATGGAATTCAAGGATTGGTGGTAAAAACATATAGGAAATCCCCATAAAAGCTTGGAAGCAGTAACTGCACACATGATTTACTTATCTTTGTGTGGTCCACTGCAGTATGAGTACAAAGTACACTATTTAAAATGCTTTTTCTTTTATGTCTGAAACCATGTGTTATTGTTGTTACGTTATTGTCTGAAACCATGTGTTATTGTTGTTGCTTTCCTTTGTTTTATTATTCTATTTAATTTTCATAACATTTTATTATTAATACAGTCAAAAGTCGTTAATCCGGACTCGTCGGAACTTCGGCGATTCCGGATTATAGATCATCAGTTTAAGTCTGGTAAGATGGCATGAAGAAATTACAAAATTAAAAATATGAAACCATAATTTATGAAATAAAGAACAATTATGATCTAAAGGGTATCAAAATTTACAAAAAGAAAAAGCTTAATATTTATTTGTTTACTTTATTAAACATTTCTTTCAATGTAAGTTGCTTCGTTTCATGTGATAATACTTTCTCTTTAATTCTATTAAACAGACATAATTTCTTGTTTAGTTAACAAAGTTCCGCTGTTCAAGTCCTATAATTGCTATGTTGAGAATACCGACTAATTTGTCAATCAAAATGTTTTCGTTTTCAATAACCTATGGGTCACTTTCTTCACTATCGGAAGCGAATTATAATGACGAGGAACTTGATTTAAATCATATCAAAGACGGAGCACATCGAGATGAAATACTACACTTAGTAAGGAATTATAAGCCAAATAAAATAAAAACATCTGCCCTGAAGATAACGATAGTGCTGACAGATCAACTTCCAATCCGCAGCGTGAAATTGATAAACAGATTTCGGATTTCGAAACATACTTTCGCTTTGTAGATACAAATTACATATTAGTAAATATATATTGGAAATTCTATTTGACATAATCGAAAGTTCAAGCTTACTTTTATGAAATTGCTCTAACAGTCTGCAAAAAATAATAAGCCGGATCCAATTCGAAGATTAAGGAACAACGCAATCTGCAACATTAACTGAATTAAATAATTTTAGCTTAGCTTACACCGTCCGTTACACATTAAAACGCGCATGCGCACAAACATGTTTGCAGCCGTAAAGGTCTTACGCGCACTCGTAAACACCTGTGCGCATGCGTGAACGTGACGCATGCGCAGAAAGTTTGTAGCTTTTAGGTCCGGATTATGGGTGTCCGAATTAACGACTTTTGACTGTATACTTAATTCTGTTTGCTATTTTATGGAATTCTTATGATATTTTAACTTACTATGTATTATTGTAATTTAATAATATTTTGATCCTTTTCATTTTATTTCATTTTAATTATTCATTGTTGTTTAATTTATTTTTGCTCACTAATTATGAACTTCGCTAATCTCAGGTGCTTCTAATTTTAGAAATTGAGCTCTATATACTGCTGGGCAATTTTTTTCTTACGTGTTTTCTTTCTTGTTCTTTCTTCTATGTGTGCAGTATAAGTAAATAATGGGTAGTCATCTTTATGAAATAGGCCTGCTTTTAAAATATTTTTTGAGGTACCTATGAGCAGTCATCAGGACTGTTAGTGACCCATATATTCAAATCTCATTCTCAGTGAAGAAATTCTGATTTCATAATTCAGATCAACATCATAAAATATGTAGAATCGTTAAAAAGATTTTTCCCAACAGAACCATTGTTAATTATTGTAATCTCCAGTTCACATTGTAATTTTCATTTGCACTTTAGCAGCTGAGGAAGATGGTTCTGTAGTTTAACCATTTAAACTAACCCTGCAAAATTTACAATTATTATGCTGATTCTTGTTGTTTGGCTTCTCCAATAATCATTATTCGGCTTGTTATTTTAACCTAAATTATTGTATACTGTTTTGAAGAAAATTCAGGTTTTTGTTAATTTTTAATTTTTAGTTAACTGTTGTAACTTTTATGTTGCATATTTTCTGTAATAATAAATAACAGCTAAGACTATATTATTCATTATTTGAAAAATGCTGTGCTGCTTATACGAAAATATACCTTTCTTGTCACTATATTGTCAAAAATATAATATTTGACATCTAAAGTAAACTTTTCTGAAATTAAATTACCTTATTTTGTGCTTTTTGGCCAATTTTAAATATTTACGTAGTTTCTAAGTGTACACTGGTGTGCAAAAATTAAGGACGAAGTCCAAAAATTAGCATATCAGCTGAACAAAGAGGCAGAGCGTACAGAAAGACCAATCAGGAGATTAAGTAAGGTGATGTACGGTAGCACATGTGCAGATATGTAGGTAGACGTAATGGGAGAGTTTCTGAGTAGTATAAAGCATGTTGTCGGTGTAAGATCAGTATTTCTGGCAAAGAGATTGTATGCCATATAGCAGTTAAAATCACACCGAGTTGCTGCTTCATCGAGAAATGGCAAATAATCAATCTGTTAGACGACATCTAGATGCTTTTACCCGAGGTCGAATCATTGGGAAGTTGGAGGAAGGCCGCAGTGTGACAAGTGTGGCTGCTGAGTTCGGAATTGCTCACAGCATCGTTTCACAACTTTGGAGACAATTTCAAACTACAGGAACAGCTATTCGGTGGTTTAGTAGTGGTCGTCCATGAGGAACCACACCGGTATATTGCCTTACAAGCCAGAAGAAACAGGCAGCAGACAGCGGGAGAAATAGCTAGACACACGCGACTGGACGACCGATATCGCATTTTATCGTGGCTAGAAGACTGCACGGTGGTGGTCTGTTTGCACGACGCCCTGTATGTTGTGTACCTCTAATGCCTGCCCATCGGAGAAGGCATTCTCTGTGGTGCCGGGAACACCGGAATTGGAGAGACAATGAATGGGGACGAGTACTTTTTACAGATGAGAGCAGATTCAGTCTGAGTAACGATTCTCATCGCATACTCGGCTGGAGAGAGCGGGGAAGCCGCAATCATCCCTCGAACATCATTGAAAGGGACAGGTATGGAGGTGGCGGTGTTCTCATTTGGGGAGGCATCATGCTTGGTTGTCGTACAGACCTTCACTCAGGTTCACAGGTGTTCAGTCGACGGGACCCGTTATTGTAACGAGATTCTTCTTCCATATGTGCGTCTTTTTAGAGGCGCTATGGGTCCGCAGTTCCTTTTCATGGACGACAATGCACCATGTCATTGCACAGTAGCTGCCGAACAGCTCTTAGAGAGTGAGGATATTGAACATATGGATTGGCCGGCACGATCTCCGGATCTCAATGCCATTGTGCATGTATGGGATTTTCTAGGCAGACGCTTGGCAGCTCGTACCTTACTACCAGTAACGATTCCTAAGCTTTTTTTTTTTTTTATTTTGATTGGCGCTGCAAGACGAATGGGCAGCAATGCCTCAACAACTCATTGACACCCTCATTCTCAGCATGGGCAGATGCTGTGAAACCTGCCTAGCAGTCAGGGGAGATCATATCCCCTATTAAAGACCGGATGTTTCTTACTGGACACCCATCACAGGGATATTTCGGCCTTCAGTCGCATTGCGCTCCATGCTACTTTTCAATAAAGCTTCTTTTTATCCCTCTGATTTCTCTTTTAGTAAGTGTTGCTTACATTATTCATGTCCTTACGTATTGGCGATCTTACGGTATTAAATGTGTTGATTTGGAAAGCAAAAGCTTTCCAAATCAACACCAAAGCTTTCCAACTTTTGTACAAAAGTACAAAGTTATATTGAAAAAACAGTCTCGTCCTTAATTTTTGCACACCAGTGTAATTACTAATGACTTGTTTGAAAACTGTTCTGATGTCAAATCAACTTTTTCAATAATCAGGATTTTTTCTGGAGCATAATGCTTAACCGTATTGAGAATGTGCATCCCTGTATATTAAAAAGGGAGGATGCCTCTTGGGTTGGTTTTAAAACTTGACTGAATTTGTGCAAGATGCTTTAGGTCTTATATATTTTAATACTAGCCTCCATCTGGGATATTCTATGGACTCAAAGTACCTAAGAAGCAAGAGAACTTTCTTCTACAATTTTATGTTAAATCAAAATTCATATAAACAACATGGACATGTTGCCAGCTTTGCATTTCAGTTGGGGAAAATCATATTATTAAATTTTTGTTTTGAATTTATACAGTCTTATACTGATTTAATACTGTTTTCCTCTTCTCTTCCTCCTCCTTTCTATTAAGGTGATTTCAAAAGTATCCAATATATAATTTTACACTTCACAAATTACGAATGTATAAAGATTTTGTTCTGTTGTATCTCTGTCTAGAAAACAGTTTGTTCCTGTTCCAGCCAGTCCTGTACTGTTTTACTCCAGCATATCATGTAATGCATTAAAAACACTCAAATCATTGCTTGTAGAGGAAAATTTCTGTTTAACCTGTTCTTCTTAGTCTTAAAAGATAACTAAATTTTACTGCATACTTAATGAATTTATTTAATTCTTATGATTACATTTTCTGATATTCATTTCAGATTCCAAAAGTGATGTCTAAAGAAGAACTAATAAATTATTGGAACACAGGTAATTTTTAAATGAATTCTTGAAACACGAGTAATTTTTAAATTAAAGAAAACTTCCAGTATTCATATTCATTCTTGCATTTACCTGTAAAACATTACCCATCTGACTGGAGGGAGGGAAGAATTAGTTTAGAGAATGAAAATTAGATGAAAGTATCAAGCTTTTAATTGTAGGTTGCAAAATTTTTCGTAGCATGAAATATTTTCATTTTTGCATGATTTCAGAGTAAGTTATTTTGTTAAAGGATATGGTAAAAATTGCTACTCTGTTCATAATTAATCAGTTCAGAATCAAAGTACATAAATAGTATCCATTTGTATGTATGTAAACAACTAAAAAATAACTGCATTTAAATATTTTAATTAAATGTACATATGCATATTCATTTTTATTTCTTTTAAATATCTTCAAGGAAAATGAACAAAAGAAATCTCAGGGAAAAATATTTTTTTCAATAAATCATTTTAAGATCCCACATATGAAAACTTTAATGTAATCAATACATTAACTTTTTGATATATGTGTGTTTTGTTTTTAATGAAATTTGGTAATATATTTAGCATACCAAGATGCTAGACTTGGTCTTCATTTATTTACAATATCAATTTAATGCATCAGTTACCAATGATGATCAATAACCAACTTGTCATTTTCATAAGTTAAATGGAGAATTTATCTAAAGTGTTTAAAAATTGACTTGAAATTATTTTCTTCTTAATTCTGCTAATTCAAGTGAAAAGTTACATGGCTCAGGAGCATAACATGAACACGTACCAAACCTAAAGTAGATAACAAAAAATAAACACTCTTGCATGGATGAAATGTTAGTATTCAAGAAGATTTCTGATCCAATCCATCTAAAACATAGTTGACTTAGCAAACATGTCTGCTAGTCTCTCATTGATTTCATTGACAAAAGGCAGTCTTTCAAGGGCTTAGTTCAGGAACTGGAAAATGTGATAGTTTGCTGTGAAAGGTTTGGGCTATGAAAACAGCATGTTTAATAACTTAAGTCAACTACGTCATGTCAAATTTGTGAACGAGAGCTGCAGTTTTTTTAAATTCATTATTTTGTGATAATGCCGAATAGAAGTAACTTTTAAGCAATTATGTTATTTGAATACAATCAGAAACATATCCTCGCTTTGTATGAGTGGATCCTTATCAACTGGTGTCTAAGCAGCTTATTTTATTCATTTCAGTTTGTGCGAGTTTCATATAGATGTAGAAGCTCCATCCTTTGTATACTTTGAATGGGATCTAGCTAGTACTATCAGTCTTTGTATACTTTGAATGGAATCAGTGTAAAGTTGAACTTTCTCATGTCAAGCTTTGATAGATACATGTCTTCTTGTTGATTTTGCTCTTTTTTAGAGCTAGGCATATGCAGTTGTTGAACAAAGTGATATTATATACCTTAAGATCTTGATAAGCCCATGCTCATGTATCTGCTGATAAGCCATGCCACATGTATCTACTGTGACATCATCCTGAATGTGGTCAGTCTTTTAGCTCACTACAGGCATCATGAAAATGTAAAAGTCTAATTTCCATAGCAGTCTTTTATAGACTTTTTTTAAAACATGCTTTTGATTGATAACATCGAGTCCTGATTTTGAAGTCAAAGATGCTATAAACAAGAGATTTATGAGACACACAGCTCAAGCCTCTTCCTCTCTTATAAATCCTATAACATAAAATTCAGGATAACTTTTTTCGAAAAGATATTTTTCGCAGTAAGTTTTAAAAACAGCAAAACATTCAATGGGAAATTTTATTTTTGATCATGTATTTATAATACCCAAATTATATAATGATAAATTTATGAGCTCTCAAAAGTAATGAATTAATATCTTATAATTTCTTATAATGTTATGTAATATTACTGTTGCATCAGGTTCTTCTATTTACAATAAAATTAATGTAAAATTCCTTACCTGCTGCATCTTCAGTGTTCTCGACGCCAGGCTTCTAATAATCACGTTTTCCAGTAAGAGTTTCTATTACAATTAGCAGGCCATCTTGTCTTTTAATTATTTATTGGAATAAAAAGCTAATATACACTATTTACAAGGTAGGTGATAATTATTTTAAAACAGTACATTTTTAGTTCTGAGTCTTTACGCTCCTCAGAGCGGTTCCAATCTCGACTGCCTCTCGGAACTTAATTACAGCAAAAGTAAAGGAAGAGATGCCCGCCACCTAGTGGCAAGAATGTGACATCCTCCCACCTTTTGATTTTACCTCGATAAGATGGGAAAATCAAAACAAAATTTATCAATAATCAAACAAAAATTCAAGTACAACTTTCACAAATATGAAAAGTAACTAATGCTCTAAAATTAATACTTACAAAGAAGGATTACACATCTAAACATTTTCTACATTACATTCATACCATATCCAGATAACATGTTCCAATTGACAACTGTTAGGACAATTAAATTTCTAAAATACTGAAAAGAAACAAAAATTAGTATAGCAATTTAAAAATATGTAACAGGTTTTACAGTTTTACGTCCATATCTAGTTTGATAGTTCATATCACTGTAACACTTATCCGCAGAGATTTTTCTGTTCATGGTGAAGTCACTAAACAAGTTAGGTCTATCAAGTTCGAGAGGATAAATACGTTTCACACAGGTCTTAGGAGTTCACCCGTTGCAGTTTTCACTTTGACAACACGTACTTCGTTGTCTTTCCCAGGATATAGTTCTACAACACGACCTATTGGCCAATCTATTCTCTTCTTGTTGTCGCTGCCGACAAACACCAAGTCATTTTTGTTGATAGTCCCGAGTAGATCGTTTAGATGGTTTTTGCACTAGGATAGCTAAATATTCATCACGAAATCTTTTGCGGAAATGTTCTCTTAAGTTCTGCAAGAACTTGTATCTTTTTGTCAGATTGATGGTATCCAGGTAGTCTAAGTCTGGCACTCCGACGTCGTGCACATCTTGTAGAAACATTGAAGGAGTTAGTGCCGTAAGATCATTTGGATCTTCTGAAAGGTACGTAAGGGGTCTTGAGTTGATTACTGATTACTGATTCGATATCACAAAGTATAGTCAACATTTCCTCATAAGAGACACAGGACTTGCCGAGAACATTTCTCAACATCTTCTTCACTGTTTGTACCAACCTCTCCCACCAACCGCCCCACCATGAAGCAGTTGGGGGATTAAACTTCCACTGTATTCTCATACTAGTTGAATTGACATTCTATTTCTTTCCAATCTATCGATCTTAAAAAGATTTTCAGTTCCAACGAAATTAGTGCCATTGTCGCTGTAAATAATACTTGGACGACCCTCTTCTGGCAATAAATCTCCTTAATCCCAAGATGAACGCATTTGTTGATAAACTTTCTATCAGCTCAAGATGTATCGCGCGATAGACCTGCGCAAGTAAAGAGCAAGATCCATGCCTTTTTTCCTTTCTTAAATAAAGAGGACTGGACCGGCTACATCGACTCCGGTCACTTCAAACACCAGAGCATCTCTCGAACTCGATCTTCAGGAAGAGGTGCTGGAACAGTCTCTATATTCTTTGCGCTATATCTTCTACAGCGAACACACTTCATAAGAACTTTACGTACTGTTTTTCTTCCTCTCAGGACCCAGAATTTCTGTCGAATATTGGCTAGTACGAATTGCACACCAGCGTGGGATAGTCGCAAATGGTAATCTAAAATTAACCTATGAACTAAGTCATGATTTGAGGGCAATACAATTGGACAGAGAAAATTTTCTTCTTCCTCTCTTCTAGTAATCTTGGTCTTTAACCGAATAAGGCCATCTGAGTCAAAAAAGGTACAAAGGTTGCTAACTTTAAGTTCTTTGCCAAATGCTTCTATTTGTATTATCTTGCATATTTTCTTTTCTACAGTTTCTATTTCAGGGACCGTGAGTTCTCCTGATTGTTTAGAATCTGGTCTTCTGCAGTTGTTGATAAATCTGCATATCCAAGCAGTTATTCTTAACATTTTATGGTAAGATGAATATTTCTCAAAAAAATGTTCTACCCTTTGCGTATTTAGTGCAGAAATGACTGATTTCCTTTTTTTCTGAATTCACTATTTCCATGTCCGGTATTTCCCTTTGTCTAGGCCATTCTTCCTGATTTTTCTTCAGCCAGTCGGGGCCCTCCCACCATCTAACTACTAAAAGTTGTTTGGCGGTGCAACCTCTTGATGGGAGGTCAGCTGGATTTTTTGTTCCAGCAATATGTTTCCACGTTTTTGGATCCGTCAGTTTCCTAATCTCCCTGACTCTGTTTTCCACAAAGACAGCCCAGACAATCTCTCTTCCCTTTGAATCCATGTCAAAACTGTTGTAGAATCCGTCCAAAAATGCGTTTCCACATATTTTGCCATTGTAAACCATTTAAAACAGAAGAGCATAGATAGTCTGGCACCTATCGTGGCAGCTATCAATTCCAGACGAGGGATCGTAATAGATTTTACGGGAGCTACCCTAGACTTCGATGCTAACAGATGAACTTCAACTCCAGAATTCGTCACAGTTCTCAAGAAAACTGCAGCAGCATACGCATTACTACTGGCATCACAGAATGTGTGAATGCTGCAGAACTTCCTATTGTCCTTGCTGGAATGTATCCAACGTAGGAGGGATATTTCTTTTAAGAGAAAAAGGCTTTTTTATACCAATTCACAAAATTTTGTTTTGTACTCTCGTCAACTTCAGTATCCCAAGAAATTCCTGTTTTCCATAGGTTCTGCAACAATATTTTAGGATACAAGAGAACAGGACTCACAATACCAATAGGATCAAATATTTTGTGTGTTACAGCGAGAATTGTTCTCTTCGTTATTATACCCATTTCAAAATCTTCTAGCCAATTCAGATTCAAAGTTAAATTATCTTTCTGACAGTTCCATAACAGACCCAATACGGGTGAAATAGTTTCCTGTTTCAAGGTTATCTCCGTTATGTAACCAACCTCGAAGATTAAACTTTCCTTCATTCATTATTTCTCGAGATTTTTCGATGAACTGAATCATCTCGGATTCTTTGTCAAAACTGGCAACAACGTTATCTACGTAGAAGCTACGCAAGAGTTTAGCTATTATCTCCGTATCATATGAAGAATTTTTCATGTACTTTTGTAGATGGAATTCTATAACAGCTGCCAAAAGGAAAGGACTACTCTTAACCCCAAATACTACCCTAGTATGACGAAATATTTTCGTTTTCCTTTCTTCCACATCATTCCACCAGAAAAACCGAAGCCAGTCTCTATCTTGAGGCCTTACACTGATCTGTAAGAAAGCCTTTTCAATGTCTGCTATAGCAGCAAACTTGCCTTCCGAAATCTCAACAAAAGAGATGGAATTAGTTCTATATCAAATTTGGTCCACACTCCAAACACTGATTTAGAGAAGGAGACGATTGTTTCCTCGCAGACGCATCAAACACCGGTCGAATTGGTGTTGAGCTATTTTTTTCTTTGATCACCGGTCTATGCGGCAAATAATGTCCATAGTCAACCGCAATATTTTCTTTAACTTCTTCGATCACTCCTAAGTTACACCAGTCATTAAAAACTGCATTGTATGAAGAAAATAAATTTTGAGATAAAAGTTTCTGGGTGGTAGATTGTAGACGTTTCAACGCTAAATCCTTGTGGGGGGAGAGTGGTACATGATTCTCCGCCCACGGAAGTGCGACTTCATAACGCCCCTCTTCGTTTAGAGATACAGAATTTTCGAACTGCAATTTTGCTTGCAAATCCCTTTCCTCTCTAGCCTTCTTTGTAACTGGATCTGTTATTCCGATAACATCAAGCCTCCACAGTTCTGACAACGTGGCATCAGAAATATGTAAAGATAACGAAAGCGTGGAAAAGGAATTTTCTATTTCATAATTGTCAGTGTTCGCTTTTCCCATGACTGTCCACCCAAGTCTTGTACTTACAGCAACTAATCTTCCCCAAGGAAGAACTTCGATTTTACCTGTAAATAAATTTGCAGCAACATCTGCCCCTAACAACAAATGAATCTCTTGGGGGTTCTCCTGGAATAATCTGCAATTTCCATTTTCAAAAACATCACTGACGTAAATTCCTCTTCTTCTAAGTTCCCCAATCCAGTGTATATTTTTGATTTTAGGGACCGAAGAACATATTTTTCTTTCATCCAATACATTGATTTCGCAATTATACCGTTTATCTACGCTACCCAATTTTATTCTATAACGTTTATGTTTTTCCGAAACTTCTTCTATGCCACCGAAAAGTCCGTGGGTTACACTTTGTTCACCTAAGCTTCTTAATTGTAACCTTTCTGCTGCATACCTGCTTATGTATGAGTTTTGACTTCCGGTGTCAATTATCGCTCGAACAAATTGGTTATTCCCTCTTCCATATATGCGAACAACTAAAGTTTGCAAATATACTTCTGAACATCCTGCTTGATTTGAAAGTACTTTATTTTCTATCTGTTCGTCTTTTTTAATTTCCGAAACCTCGACAGAAGGATTTTGTTTATTACACATAATAGTTGCATGTTTTTTTACAAATAGAACAAGTTATTTTTGTTCTGCAGTTTTTGAGCCAAATGGTGTAATTTTAGGCATTTATAGCAAGCACATTTCCTTTTTTAAAATGTCCCTTTTTTCTTGTAATGATAAGCCGGAAACGAAACTACAGTCATAAATCTTGTGGAATTGATTACAGAAGACGCAGTTCATATTTTCCTCCCTGCATTCGGATTTTGTAAACAAATCTGTAGCGGTCGGAATCTTTGGTTTATTTATGTCTATTTGAGAGACCATATGCGCTTTTCGTTGCAGGGGGGGGGAAGAAGACTGTCGCCGATCGGATATTTTTTGCTGTTGCGAAAACCGTTGACCTTGTGCGTTCGCGGGATGAAAGTTCTGCGTGTAAAAATGACATTAAATCTTTTATGTTATAATCGGTGCCAACATTTTTGTTCTATTAAATTCAAGCGTTAATTCTGAAGGCAATAACTTCAAAATCATCGGACACAGCAAAGCGCTGTAAGATTCCGATACAACATCTAACGCTTCGAGACATCTAATCTGTGTTTGTACTTTATCATACAAGTTACGAAATGTTTTTATGTCATTCGCATTTTTTAATGATTCAACATTCAGCAAATTATTCATGTGCGCATTAATAAGAATGTCTCTCCTTCCAAAACGGTCGTGTAAGATTTGAATTGCTGAATCATAATGTTTTGGCGATAACGGAAGTCCTTGAACGCAAGCTAGCAGCTGTTCCTCCTAAATATGCTTTCAGGGTAATTAAATTTGTCTACTTTGTTCAATGATTCGTTATTATGTATTGAGGACTCAAAACTATTCCAAAAAGTAAGCCATTGACTACTCTTTCCCATAAAATACGGGAATCGAAAGTTTTGGTAATTTAACATTAGGTGTATCTTTTATATTTTGCTGAGTGTTCGGTGCATTTAAGTCATTATCCTGGACCGAAACTACTGAAATCTTCGCACTAGGGTCATGATTAATTTCCTTAATACGTTTCTGAATTCGTTTAAGCCTGAATTTCCATAACGTTATCTTCTCGCGATATTGTTTCTGTAATTTCGAATTCATTTTCGAATTCATCTACACTCAGAATTGGTTCAACTTCCACATCGGCATTAGATAGCGTTTCGGTTTTAGCATTAAGCTGTTCTAACAATTCTTCGAGCTCATTAATACTACCTTCAGATTTATTTAATTCACTTTCGATTTTCTTAAATAGTTTTTGTAACGGCAGTTCTTAAGATACTTCTTTTCTTTTTTAATTTATCTACTTCAGCCATTATCTTTCTTAGATTCAAACACTTACACACAAAAATATACGTCTCATGAAAAACAAATATTTAACTCTTACTTAGAAAACAAAATTATTCTTTTGCTGAATACTTCAAGAACAAGTATTAAAATCTTCAATTTTAATATTCAGCTTTTGAATTCACTTTATTAGAACTTTTCAAAAAACCTGGCGTCCCTGTTCGGGCGCCATAAAAATGTTGCATCAGGTTCTTCTATTTACAATAAAATTAATGTAAAATTCCTTACCTGCTGCATCTTCAGTGTTCTCGACGCCAGGCTTCTAATAATCACGTTTTCCAGTAAGAGTTTCTATTACAATTAGCAGGCCATCTTGTCTTTTAATTATTTATTGGAATAAAAAGCTAATATACACTATTTACAAGGTAGGTGATAATTATTTTAAAACAGTACATTTTTAGTTCTGAGTCTTTACGCTCCTCAGAGCGGTTCCAATCTCGACTGCTTCTCGGAACTTAATTACAGCAAAAGTAAAGGAAGAGATGCCCGCCACCTAGTGGCAAGAATGTGACAATTACAATTTTATTTCATATAATATACATGAACTTTCATTCTCTTATCATTTATATATTTTCAGGTGTGAAGATATCCATTTCTGCTCTTGCATCTTTACCTGATAATAGCAAAGAAGCATTTATTAAAGGAATAAATTATTTGAAAGAAGAAATTAAAAATCAACTGAAAACCACTGGAAATTAATTATACAGATGTTTCAAATCATAGAGAAAATAACTTTTGCACCTATTTATCATTATACTAACATATGATGTCTGTGTGTTAAGAATAAAACATTTTTGTTGCATAAAATGTTTATTTAGAACTTGTAAATTTACATTTAAAATATCCATCAAATAAAAATACACAGTTATTCAATAAATATCATTGCACTGTCATTTATAAATATGCCATAAAAGTAGATATATTAAATCATTCTAAATTCTTGAGAAAATTGAAATTTGGAGATAAATCTAAATTTTCAATATTACGTATTGCTTCAAAGTAGCTTGGAGGTGGAGTATTTGGTTTTAAATTTGGGCTTAGTTTTTCCATACAACTTTCAGTATTTTGAGAAGTTGGAGATATTGAGTTAATATAAGACTGAGGCCTTTTTGGATAGAACATGTCTGAAAATTTAAGTTCTCTTTTTGCTGTGGGAGAGGCTTTTGTAACTTGTAATTTAATGCCTGAGCTGTGCAGTGGTAATTCATTTGTACAACTGTTTTGCACTTTAGTTGTTAAAATGCCTATAATAAAGCCAATTATTATTAATGAAGCATAAAAAATAAATAACAGGTCAATTTTATAGGCTGTGATACTAGAAAACATGATGATACCAAGCAATAGTATAATATACACGATGTTACTAGTTAAATTATTACAAAATTCAATCTGCTTTACTTTAACAATTATACTGAAGATCTGCTCTTTTGTTATACTGCTTTTTGTATTCAACAGCGCTTTCATATATATCTTGAGCCTATCCACTTGACAATGAATAGCAGAAAATAACATGAATATCAATAAAAATATTATCAAGCAAGAAATGGCTGTTGCCTGCCAGAAAAGAATAGTTTTGCCTTCTATATAATAAACTGCTGTAGGAAATAAAAGAGATCCAGTTGTACATATAAGAATTTTGAAAATAGACAATGTACTCTGACACAGTTTTGACTTGGATTCATCAGGCTGAACACAGGAATCATCCTTTACTCTTCTTTCTTCTTCATTCTTGGCTGGACTGATTCGTTTACTGAACTCCAGCATTTCTGTCTGCAGTGTATTTATTTCTGTAAATGTTAATGGGAAAGATTATATACTAATTTTAATGATAATAATTTACATTTATTTGCATTTTACCACTTAATTTTATTTCTTGAAAATCAAGATGAGGAAATGGCAGTATATAATGTATCTAAAAAGATAAGTTAAAGGAAGAAGTTCCAGATACAAGTAAATGCATATAAGAATAAATGCCCTAATTACTGTATTCTGTATTTTGAAGAAGTCAATTACAGTCCTACTAGTGTATTAGCTCTATCCTCAGTATCTATGCTTATGTACTATCACCTCATACTTTACCATAAATCAGAAGTTTCTACATCTTGTGTTAAATGCTAGAGAGGAGTATACAAGTAACTATTATTTCATATGTATTGAAATGTTTCACTTTTAATACAAGACTAATTTTAATAGCCCTTTTTTTTTTTTTTTTTTTTTTTTGCTGTGAAATAGACTGGAAAAAGTGCTTTACGAAATATTTCTTTGAAATATCTAATATAGTATATTAGTTATGTATAACAATGTCGCTAGATTTGAATTGGTTATTTGAATACAGCAAGACAAACAAGAACTATCTGCTTAAGGGTAGATGCCTCCATAGAGGTTTTCCTAAGAAAAACTGGCTTGTACTCCTTGGTACACAAGGAGAAATATGTAAGTGTTACACAAACGTTTCCTAGAAATTAAAGATACAAAGCATAAAATCTTATATTTGAGTTATTCAAAATGATGGGGGGAGTGAATTTGCTGTGGTACAATATTATTTCATTGTAACAGTGTGCACTTATTTAATAAAGAAAAGACTAATTTATTCAAAATATAGCTGTGCATTTGTTGAACTGGATCCTTTATGCATCAGGCTTACAACAATATAAAAAAATTTAAAAAATAGATATTTATTATTTCTCTGAACGGCAAGTGACTTTTGCAAACATTATTTTTAGTGCAGTATGTTGATACTATTTATATTCCATTAATACTCGGTTACTTTTATGAAATGTGCATGAAGGTCTGCAGTACCTCTAAAATTAAATGTCGAGTGCAAAACCATTGTTTTTTCTTTATGACCATTCGCGTCCAAATTACCTGTAAGTCGCCTCGTTGTTGCATCATCTTATTTCTTTTCTGTTTTTATAACTTTATTTCCTGTTCTGTTTTATCTGAATTTTAAAAGAATTACTTTGGGTATTTGCCCAATTATTAAATGTGGTAGCCTGTTTATATCGTGTTATGAATAGATGTGCAATGACGTCATTGCGAAATAAGTAGGAAAAGTGAACATCAATCCGACAGTTTTCAGTTACTTATAGGTAGGAATTAGCAGCTGTTGGATATGAACATCTGCAAGTTAACAATGTTAAATAAAATCTGCAGCTATATGCCTCCTGTTTAATCAGGTAAAATGTGTTTTGTATTTGTTTTTATTTTATTACATTTATTCTGGATATATAATAAAGTAACTATTGTGTTCAGGAAATTTTACGTATAGTTAAGGTTGCTTCTCATCCTTCCCTTTTGCCCCCTTTGTTTACATGGCTTTATGCTTGGCACTAAGTGAAGCATAGTTAACAGGAAAGTAGATTATTTTGCTTAAAATGTGTATGGAACGTACGTATTAGCTCAACTACTTTGTAGAAATCACGTAAATGTTCAGAATGTCTCTAGCAAACCATGGACGCAACAATTCTTTAGTTTTAACAAGCTATGTCGATATTTTCGTATATCTTCTGTTCGTCATGTTTCAAGTTCCAATGGTTTTTGCAGATAAATTGTAATTATTTTTACCGTAAATTTTAAAATATGTAATTTTAGAATTTACCTAAATTCGCCAGAGAACAGTTGTCTATTCTAAAAGCGATAGCCACGAAATTTCCAATGGAATACCTATATAATAAAATCTTTTAAGTAAGTTTGTTGATTAATTTTTGGAATAAATACCTAATTAAAACAAAATGTATGTGTGGTAATGTACACCTGCGTAATAAATAATTCTTTGCAATTGTAAGCGTTTTTTTTTCCTTGTACAGAAAAATCATCAAACTACGCCAAGGCGGTTGCGTCAATATGTACTTACATACGGTGCAGTTTATTTCCCTTTCTATAGTATAATTCACAAAATTTATGGCTTCAAGATTTCAATATTTATTTCACAGATGTCCAATCAATTTTATCTAGTTGGTTTATCCAGCAAAGTGTTAATTTCTAGCATTTGTATATAACTCATATGATTGAGTCTTGTGGCCTGTAAGTTATGTTTTTTGTGAACGATTTTCAAATACAAAAATCAAGCATTGGTAGAAATGACTAATCATGTTGCTTTAGGAAAAATACTCTCCGTATTTTCACTGATAGTAACGGTACTTAATTATTTCGTTGAATACGACAAAAAGGCAATGATTAACTACCTAATGGAAATGATATTTTCGTGCAGATTTTTTTAGGAAAACAAGCCTTTATTTATGCTGTTTACGATGAAAATACAGAAATATACGTAATTTTCTACATAGAAAGGGGGGAAAAAAAGACTGTTTAAAAAATAAAAAAAAAAAGAAGGCCAGATACCTGTGGCTCAAGACATACTAATCGAAAGTCAAAAATGAATGCATGGGTGTTTAAGAATTACTAGTTAGGTTAGTTTTGATTATGCCAAAGAACATGAGGATAGCTGCTTAAGGGAAGGAGTATTCTCACAGAAAACTGGCTCTTCTTTACGTTACACATGGGGAAATCAACCGTGCAACCAGCTAGTTCGCCAGGATTCGAACTTTGGTTTAACTACCAGTATTCCGCGACCTTAACCGCCCGACCACTGGTGGGAGCAAAATAGAATTGAAAAGAGACATAAGAAATTCTTTCTTTCTGAAACAAGCTGCATATATCAGTGGTTCGTGGCATTGAAGACATTCAGGGTTCATGAAAAAAAATTTGAAGGGAGGAGGCATAATTATCTACCTACCTGTTTTTTTAATGGATAAAATCAGAAAATAGTTTTATAATGCGTATGTTTGGATTTTATTGCTTGCGGATATTGATATCGAAGCTAGATGATATAAAACTCTAAACCCTTATACAGGTTGCTGGTATCTTCAGAATAATGTTTAGCTCTCCAAATCACACTACACATCCCTAATCTTAAAACTATATCGCCCATCAGCGGCCGAGCGGTAACGTCGCTGAACACTGGTAGTTCGGTCCGAGGTTCGAATCCCACGAACGGGCTGGCTGCATGGTTGTTTTTGTGGTTTTCCCCATGTGTAATGTGTATACGAGCCAGTTTCCCTTAAAAAGTCCTCCACGAAGGCATCCCTCCCTTAAGGCAGATAGCCCTTGAGTGCTTTGCTGTAATCTAATAAACCAAACTTAAAACTATATCTGAATTTTCTAAACACATACACACACACACATATATATAGATATAAATATCCTGTGTTATACATTAGAAGGCTAAAAATTCCAATTTGTATTTGCTATGAACGTAACCATAAAGTTTTCTCCAAGGAAGCTTTCAAATCTTATTTTGTTTCACTGAAAATGGGATCTTACTATGCATCCGTAATTTTATTAGCCGGTACTTGCACAGATGTGAAGACAAATTAATGCTGAAAAGAAAACCTTTAAAGGGAATTATTGTTGTTAAAAGTATTGTTGCTGATATTAAAAAATTAAATATGCTTTATTATGCAGACATATCTTGCCCCCCCCCCTTTTTTTTTTTTTTCCTTTTAACAATCAATTTAGATTACTTTTTCCCGTTCAAATTTTATTGCTTTTTACTTGAAGCAGTACGAGTTCAATAAAAGTAGTGAATGTTTTAAAAAGAAACAAAATAAACAAGCCCCCCCCCAAAAAAAAAAATTGGAAAGCTTTCAGATTTTAAATTACGTCCAAAAGGGCGTTTTTTTAACGTTTTGTGTGTTACCTTTATTTATTAAATATGTTCTTTGCACTTACACCATAAAATTCAGTTCAGTAGCAATGTCGCAAAATAATTTTAAAATAAGGCCTATCTTAGAATTTCCGATACACAGTTCCGCTCCCGCTGGAGATAAAAAGGTCCTCCCCCGTAGAGTGTTCCCATAGCTCGCTTTTAAATCATTGAGTTTGTTATTCAAAAATTCGTTAAAGTGTTACAAAATATGAAATCGATAATAAAACAAATTTCAAATTTGGTCTTCCACATGTCCATATTCGTAGGAGGATTACGTCATTCAAAATTCGATGGTACCGTTGTTTTATCACAAATCGAGAAATATATACATACATTTATGCAGGTTTTTCATTATTTAATTTCTTTAAATATAATGCAGGACTCAAATTTAGTGGCAACAATTTGAAAAGTGAAACAGACATTTATAGTGATTCAACGCAAAATCGCAAAGCGGAAACAATAGTCCTTCAGGGACAGAGCTCCTTTGGTCTAAAAAATGCTGAATATAAATACTTTGTAGAAGAATGTGATAAGTGTTGCCTTTACGTTTCGCTATGAAAACCTAAATTTAACTGTCATAGTGATGAGGTAAGTTATTAAAGAACTAAATGCAGAGTTCACATCAGACTGAAAGTCTTAGGAAGGCATTCTTTAACTTAGCCATAGACTTCGTGCTTTTTTTTAGCGTAATTCATTAAAAAATAAATGTATTAGACTGAAAATGACAAATTATAATGCGTGTAACTGATTACTGCTATAAACTTAATAACAGCTTAAACACCTAATCAGCAACTAATAAAATAATATTAAGTCTTAAATAATAGTATCTTAATTTTACGTACACTTTTTACAGACTTTGGATACGCATTTTTAGTATTTTTGTCCCTAACACGATGTACTAAAAATAATCATTCATATTTGATAGTTATACATTTATTTTGTGTCAAAGTATTAATAAAAATATCTGCTTCGCTGCGATACGTAATTCCAATGTGGAAAGGAAGGCTCGGCTTTATAAATGTTTTGGAAATTATTGAATAATTCACAAATTTTGAATGCTTTTTTTTTTTTTTTTTTTTTTCCCTTTTCAGTTTTTTTATCAATAATATGTAAAATTTTGATGTGTTTTGTTCAGTGCTAAACACAGAAGTTAACCTTTCGACAATTATTAAAAACCACAGGCTGTTTCAGTTGCACAATTTAATTTACTCTCAGCTGATTTACTAAACGTTTTCATTCTTTACCGTTCAGTACATTGTTATTGAAATAACATGAGAGAATTTAGTAGAAATAGTGAAAGAATTTAGATTTTACGCTTAGTTATAGTGTTAAGTTATAATATTAAGTTTATGGATATGAAAAGGTTGATTTTATCAGTATCTATTTATCAGCGATTTCATATTTTCGGTTTGAATCATATTTGGTTCAAAATTTTCAGTCATTTGAGTTTGATTTCATTACAATACATCACATTTATCAGTATTGTAATATACGCAGAAATTGCAATTGATTCGCAGTATTGTAAAAGAATGTGTAGCTTATTAATTACTACGTAATATGTAATTTGCGTAAATTGATAAAAATTGGCAGAATTGAGGAAAGGAGGCGAAGAAAAATAATACTATAGACTCTTTTGAAAAATTTTTGCCAACATAATAAACTGCATATTCTTCAATCACATTAGACAAAAGTAAAAATTTCAATGCGTGAATCTAAATTATGGACTTTTAAATTAGCCAAATCATTCCAATTAAGAATGTTTGATTAGAATGATTTAGCTTATACTGAGATTTTGAAATACTGGTTGTTTCATTTAAAAATCTGGTACTCTTCTGTTATCGGAACCGGATTCAGAAATGTATGTATGTATGCATGTGCGTATATATGTGTGTGTGTGGAGATATATTGACGTACGTACATATATACATGCATACATGAACACATAATCCTCACATACAAGCATACATATGTTACGGTGAAACACCGAAATCTGGAGAATGTCGACTTTCACTGGTGAATGTCAACATAGTCTCTTGATGGTGTATGTTCGAAATATTTTCCAAATACTCTTATTTCTGACTTACACCGGTCAATGTCGTGTTGAACATATAATAATATTATATTTTCTTCTCCGTAATTCAGTCGCGAATAAACGCACTTGAGACTTAAAATAAGGGTTTAATCCTAGTATCCGGTGCACACGGAATTTGGCTGCTTTTGGCGACTTGAGTATGAGCAGTAAAAACGGGACATAAACGATGAGTAGTAAACGGGTCATTCAAAAAATATATATAGTTATATATAGTATATATTATGTATTTGGCTCTAGTGTAGAATTGGGTGCCCCTTCAATTAGCGACAATTTTTGTAAAATTTTGGCGATGAAATCGTATTGCTGGTTACCATGATAGTGTAACTTTGCTTTAGCATCCTGATTTTTTTTTAAATAAAAATAGATTGATGTGTACATGGACAAATTTAAACATGCGCAATGCTAGTTTGTGCATTCTGGGATGTTTTAAGTGAAAACAGATCGATGTGTACATGGACACACAGTTTATCAATTCTTGACTTTTTATTTTGGTTTTGTGTAGCGGCCATCTTGAAATTGTTCTTACTGACGCCGATCTTGCCGTCAAAAAAGATCTCCAAAAAACAAGGGCACCCAATTGTAAAACTTTTACCATGTATTTACACACATATTGTATAGATATAGACGTCTTTGGATCATTTTTGTGTTAGCGATAATTTTCAAATCGCGCCAAGGCTGCACCCGTATACTAGGATTTTACCGAAATAAGATCTTAAGAACATGAGAACCTAAACACACACCATTCAAATGAAAAGAAATAAATAGAAGTTAAAAACTTACTTAATTATACGTACGTTCTAAATGATAAATAAAAATAACAGTAAAAAAAACTTACTAATTATGTGATTCAAATCTTATTTATTGCAACAACTTAAACTATTATGGCACTTTATGACCTCTCTTTTCGACTTTCACCAGAGCATATCTGTGATTGTCGACATAAACCGGTGAGGGTCCGAACATACAAGAATGTAGTGAAATATTCGGTCTTTCACCGACGTATTTGGTGAAAGTTGATATTCTCCGGTGAAAGTCGACATTCTCCAATTTCGGTCTTTCACGGTAACATATACATATATTTTTGGATTCTGATAACAGGAACAGTACGAAAAATCTTTTTTATGCTCAAGGTAAATGCAACTTAGATTCCTATTTTAGAGAGTTCCAATAGTTATGTGATTCAAATCTTATTTATTGCAACAACTTAAACTATTATGGCACTTTATGACCTCTCTTTCGACTTTCACAGAGCATATCTGTGATTGTCGACATAAACCGGTGAGGGTCCGAACATACAAGAATGTAGTGAAATTTCGGTCTTTCACCGCGTATTTGGTGAAAGTTGATATTCTCCGGTAAAATCGACATTTCCAATTTCGTCTTTCACGGTAACATATACATATATTTTTGGATTCTGATAACAGGAACAGTACGAAAAATCTTTTTTATGCTCAAGGTAAATGCAACTTAGATTCCTATTTTAGAGAGTTCCAATAGTTCAACATGCATTCAGAAAAATAAAAACAGGGGTGTATTTTAATGCAAAAATAACATGTCATTCAAATTCCTATCGTTTTAGAACCCTCTGGTATTTCTGCTAATTTACGTTCGTCTTGCGATCGTTAAAATGACTTCAAATTATTCTAATTACGATTAGATAAAATCTTTAAAAAAATTAGTATCAACAAATTAACCTTTAAATATTCCATTTTTAGTAATAATACTACTCTCACTCAGTAAACAATATATATACTGTAACATCTGAAGGAAAGACTCGGTAATTTAAAAAATGTGGTTTTTCAAATATTTCGACTGTATTTCACTTGATTGATGAAGTGATTTTAAACAATGAAGAAATATTTCAGTGCCCGTTCAACTGGTAATTCGACCTGGGCTGGAATCCCGGTTAAACGGGCGGATTTTATAGGAGTTTTTTCAGGTTTTTCTTTAGTGTAAACACCGTGGCTTGTCTTCTAGGAAAGCATTATTCTCCCCAAGCAAATAGTCCCGCCGTATTTGGCCATTATTGATTAAACCAGTGGTTCTGAATCTTTTGACTAACGCGTACCATCTTAACAAAAATTGAAAACCTTTAGTACCACCAATACAACTACTACCTCGCCCCTCTCCCCTCTTGAACAAAGCTCAGATCGCATAAATTTACGAGTGTTAGAGAAAAACCTTAATCAAGATGTTGGGGTTTTAATTTTTTAATTTAATAGTTAAAAATACGATGCTTCTTTGAGTACCACCCGTTAAGAACTCCTGGATTAGACAGTATTAAACGAATGTACGAATTATAAATCACAACGTATTTGGCCACAAAGTATGAAGATACAAGTGCTGGATTTCTGTGCTTGTGTCTAATCTGTATAACAAAAATGGTTGGATCTACGGACGTATGAGCAAAACCGTACATTTTAAGAACATTTTTCAAATGCTATCAGTTAATCAAAGAATTATTAATAATTTTGTTCTGAGAAAATACGTTTAGTAGCGTTGGGCCGGAGTTCCTGAAATCCTATCATATCAGACAAAGGTTATTTAGAAAAGTTATTTAAAATAAAACATTTAGTTTGAATTTTTTACAAAAATTATACCGAACAAAACAAAAAAAGAATAAAAGGTTAATCTTTGGAATATGGTAACAGGTAGTTTGGCGACATTTTGGTAAGGCGATAAAGGTTACTAGCTAGGACTTTAGCAGTGTACATGGATAAAGTCAAGAGCCATTTTTGTGCAATTCTGGAATTTTTTTTAAGTGAAAATAGGTCGATGTGTACATGGATACCGTGTATGTGCAATTCTTAAAAACGCGGCAAGCAGTTTGCGATTCTGCACTTTCTCCCAATTTCACACCTAATCTTCGTTATGATTAAGCACTTTTGTTCCATAAAAGTTCTAGCATAAGCGTAATTCGGCTAGCAGATTGTTGGAAAAAAATGTTGATTAAAGAAACATGTCTTTACTTCGTGAAAACAAAATGGCGTCCAAACAAAAACTAGCAGGTTGCTGTAGCAGGGTTGGTCGCCAAAGTTTCGCCAAAAAAATCACCAAGTTACCATAATCCAAAGATTAACCGAATAAAATTATTTCAAATACAAAACCACATGGAATTTTTATAAAATCCTTCATTACTCTAAATGTATAATCAGGTAAATTCAATCGGAAAATGAAGATGCTTGTTTTTAGTTGACTAAGACAAAATTTATGAAGATTTATCTTCTAAGGAAAGGGAGAAACATTTTTAAAGGAATCTGTCTTGTATTTACGCTAAACACAAGAAAACCTACAAAAATACCATTGCAACCAGCTTTCTTACATCAAAACCCAAATCGAATTACCCACGTTCAGCGATTTTAACTAACTATCGTCACGTGATAGATTTGGTTTGTTATTGCGCCGAAGCCTCGAAGGCTATCTGCGTAAGGGGAGAAATGCTTTCGTAGAGGACTTTCTAATGGAAACTGGCTCGTATCCATGTTACACATGGACCACGAAAACGCCCATGCAGTCAGCGCGTTTGCGGGATACGAGCTTCGAACCGAACTACCAGTGTTCAGCGACTTGACCGCTCAGCCGCTGATGGGCGTCAATTGATAGGAAAAGGCTGTTAAAGGTTTTACTAACTGATCTAAATAAAAGATCTAGAAAACGCTGATCTAACAAAATTCCTGCAAAAAAGATGCATTCCAAACTAAAAAATTAAATGATTTAAAATTTATCATCTTAATGTTTTTATAAGCAACAGTTTTAATATAATAAATTAGATGTATCTTGAACATGTAGCTTTTAATGCTGTATTGTACTATTTTAAAGCGAAAACACTATTTTACTTTGCCATGTTATTCATCATGATACATCATGAAGAGAAATTATGCAATTAAATTTGATCAATTGAAAAACGGTTATTGAGCAAGTTCGGTAAAGACAGAAAATATGAACTAGTTATATTTACTTACTATTGTACAATTCTTTCTCGTGATTCATCATATTAAAATATACCACTAGTTTGATAAAATTTTGAACCGCTGTACACTTCTTTTTTATAACAATGACCAGTTACGAACGGGTTTGTAAAATTCAGCTGCGTGTATCAGTACATAATAGCTTCGTTTGAACTAAACATACTTTTTGGATCAACAGGCTTTGATTGCAAATTTGATGCCACTTAAAAGAATGTAAATTGTTGGAAAGCTTCATTTTTCTACGATAGTAAGAAGCAATAGAAACAGCTAAAATCAGTTCCAATATAAAATTAAAAAAAAAAAAAAAAACACTTCATAGCAAATTTTATTTTTTTCTGTCAATTTTAAAGAAAAAAAATTTTTTGCTTGTTTAACTCTTTTGCTTAATAACTTTTTACTGAACAAATCGTGATTATTATAAATAAAAAATAAATTTTAAAAAAATCCGTGTGTCTGAAATAAATTTGATATTTTTAAAAAATAAAATACAAAATAAGTGCACTATAATTCTGTAATCATTCAATAGCCAAGCGAATAAACCATTATTGAACATTCATCCTCGGTTCCGAGTTTACATTCCGGCGAACAATCTTGTCGCGTAGTTCTTTCGTTGTTTTTATCGTGTATAATGTAATTGTTGTTTCATTGTAACGTAATCGTTGTTTCGTTCTTTTTATCATATATAACGTTTTATATATCTATATTTATATAGTTTTCGTCAAAAAATCTTCCACAAAAATATACCTCCCTTACACAAATAGCTTTACGTTCGCTTTCAATTAATCAATAATCTTTGCTTTTATACACAGTAACGACATAATGTATGCGATAACAAACTGATGAAGTTCTCATGGCCGAATCGTTAAGACGTAACTACAGACAATAAGTCATCGTAGTTCAAATCGCACAGATATGCGAATGCTTTTGCACTTGTAAATCGTCTTTTGCGTTATTTGCGACTGACTCAACTATTAATAAACAGATCTTTAAGAACATACAATGAGTAATATATGCCTTGTCCGTTGTAGTTTAAATTTTCCAATGAATTTAAAAATTAGAGATAGTAACTGGAAATTTTACCCATAAAGTAAACAATCGTATTCATACTTCTCTATTTAAATTTTTTCGTAAATTTTTATATTACGATAGCTTATGATTTAATGTTGATAATTAACTGCAACATATAATAAGGTGTAAATGGTTCACTAACGGCTGAGCAGTAAAGTCGCTGAACACTGGTAGTTCGACTTGGATACGATTCCAGGCGAATGGACTTGGTTAGATAGGCGTTTCTGTGGGTTTTCCCATGTGCAATGTGGACACGAGCCAATTTCCCGTGAACATGAGCCAATTTTCCCTAGACATTCCTCCATGAAGGCATCACTTCCCTTAGGCAGATAGCTCTCGCGTGCTTTGTCGAAATCAAATAAAACAAACCAATAAATTATACATGATATATATGTACAGAGAGAGAATATATAGATAGATAGATATGTGCATGTGTGAGATTAATGTTTTGATATTAATGTAAAAATTCGGATATAATTTATAAAATTTCGACGAAAGAACTTGTGGAAATAGAAAACTTGGAATGCATACCTTGTTTATAGTAAATTAGTAGAAGAAAACAACAATTTGTTATTACTATAAGAATTTTTTTTATTTAAAATGTAATATTTTATTTAAATTATATGATATTTTCTACAGGTAGTATTATATTAATTATTAAATATAGTAACATAAGGCGTATGCGAGATACCCAGGTTCGATTTCCGGTGAGGGCATTGCTTATCTTCCATGTACTCCTGCTTCAAAAAAAAAAAAAAAAAAAAGTAATAACTTTACAGTGGCTCCCGAACTCAAATGTAGTGGACAATAATTCACCACCATCAGGATTTGGCAATTGGATCTCCTAATCACCAGTCGCCATTTAAAAGGAAAGAGTAAAGGCCGAATCACAAATGTCTCCGTTACGAGGGACTAGACGTCGGAAGGGACAATTCTCAGAACCCGCACAGTTCCACGAAAACTACGTAGCTATAGGTTACCATTTTCAACTACTACAAAGACTTGAACGCCAAGCCGTAATATCGCTCAGATTGGGATCACTTGATCATTCAGAAGCAGAACTTTCGTCTGATTGGTTAATCTCTACCCATGGGAGAGCTGCAGCCGAAACATTTTCGGCGAGGTTTCAAAAAATCCCGCGTAGCCGGTACATCATTTCCGTACCTAGGCGGGACTTCGCTTCCAGCGGAGCTGTTTTTTATAGGAATCCTTACATTTAAACGAGTGCTACTAGACTCTCGTTTCTCAGAAAAGTTACGTCTAGCAGGGACTGTCGCTAGATGTGATAATCCCATAACGGCATTTTCTCCCTCCTTTCAGCATGCCTTCGTGTTGTAATGGTAGTACACTCGGCGCTTGTTCGAGAGGTCCAGGTTTGAGTCTCGGCGAGGGCATTGCACAATTTTCCCTTCTCCTGCTTCAAAATAACCTAATGTTTCTATAAAACATAAAATAACTGACTTTTTTTTTTTCCAAATTAGTTAAAATATTAGCATTTTGTAAATTATAGAATATTTTTAATTGAAACAAAACAATTTGTGTTTTACATATTATTTAACCTCTTTCTAGCATATAAGCATATGAATATTATTAAATTAAGCATATTTATGCAAAAACCGTAGAATTCAAATGTTGAAATTTTCTTCTCTTCTTAAATTTATTGAAAATTAAACGCGTCTGCTTTATTTCTTTTGATTCGTATACAGGCAAGCATGAAGTTCGATACGATAGTTGCAACTGCATACTATGAATGTAAGAAAACAGCCGTGAGACTAGGAAAGTGGGGAGAAGTCTCTTCTCCCGCTGTTAGTAACAAATTGTTCTCTTTTGTTCTCTAACATGCAATATCTCCATAAAAGATATATCCATTTTCTTTGACATCGAATTTAATTTAGTTCATGTTGTGTGTGGCATTCGGAGTAAATTAATGTTTAAACGATACAGTTTTTTCCCCCGAGTTAAACGAATCAAAGCCGGAATTTGAATTGATATTCTGATTATTTATTCAATTATTTGAAAATTCTGTGTTTCTACTGTTGGTAGCTATGTGTAAAGTCTTAAACAGATTTATGATATATAATAGCATTTTTTGATGCGGGCTGTCGTAGTATAATTAATAAAACGTCGGTTTGTAATTGGACGGTTAGTTCGAATCCTCGCGAGAGCGTAATAAATTTTTCCCGTTTATTACTCTAAAAAAAAATGCAATATACAGGTTTAGTATGAATTCGGCTGACTATGTACGCTCTTAGACAAAAAAAAAAAAAAAAAAAAAAGACGCACCAAGAAGGAATTATCCGATTTGGACGAAAATTGGTTAAGTGATGTGTATGTACAGAAAAACAAATATTACAGTTTGAGAAACAATTGGGTGATTTATTGAAGATAGAGCTTTACAAGTGAAAAAGTCAACAACGCGTTTGTCCACCTCTGGCCCTTATGCAAGCATTATTCGGATTGGCATATTGATAAATGTTGCGGGATGTCCTCCTGAGAGATATCTGCCAAATTCTGTCCAACTGGCGCGTTAGATCGCAACATCCGAGATGGTAGAGATCCTGCCCATAATGCTCCAAACAGGCAATAGGAGAAGATCCGGCGACCTTGCTGCCACGGTGTTGTCGGCAAGCACTAAGGCAAGCGGTAGAAACATATGCAGTGTGGGGGCGGGCATTATCTTGCTGAAATGTAAGCCCAGGTTGGCGTGACATGAAGGGCAACACAGCGGGCCTTAGAACTTCGTCGACGTACCGCTGTGTTGTGAGGTTGAGATGGATGACAACCAAAGGTCCCTAATATGAAATGAAATGGCACCCCAGATCATCACTCCTGGTTGTCGGCTTGTCTGCCGGAAGACAGTCAGGTTGGTATCACACCGCTGTCCGGGGCGTCTCCAGACTCGCCTTCGCTGGTCATCGGGGGCTCAGTTTCAAAGGGATTCCCACGAAGACTACTCTACTTCCAGTCAGTGACATTCGAGTGCGAATGAGCCGAAACCCTGCAAACGGTCTTGACGTTGTACAGAGGTCTGGTAGTGGCGCAAGGGGGCGCCTGACTTCCGCCCCTTTCTGCGAGCCGTCTATGAATGCAATCACTGTCGTTGAATCACTAGTTGCACGTACATTGATGATATGATGCCTCTGGGGCTGTGAGTGCCGTTCTGACGATTCTCGGTCTTCACCTTCATGCGTTTCTCTAGGCCTACCGCTTCCTTCTTGACGCTGTGTGCGACCTTGGTTCACCTATCCCTGCCAACATCGTTTAATAATGGCATCGCTACTGCTGAAATGTCGAGCTATTCGCTGATAAGACCAACCGGCTTATTTGAGCCCAACTACACGGCCTCTCTCAAATTCTGACATCTGCGCATATCGTTCGCGCACCTGTATGCGAGGCATAGTTACTGTCTACCAGAGTACACGGATTGAAATTTCGTAATTTCTTCACTTAAATATCCTGTCAGTTGCGCAGATCAGATGCGCTGTAGCGACAATCGTTCATTCACTGGCAGCCAAAATGTAAAATTTTGCATTTTCCATCTAAACCTGTATGCATATCAATTTGTGTCCAGTTTGCTAAATATCTTCTCGGTGCGTAGTGTGGTGCGTCGACTTTTTTTTTTTTTTGTATAAGAGTGTATTTTAGAATGCTATTGAACGACTAGTATTGTTATATAGTATATCACATATTTGAACATAGTGCATCGTTGTTGTAAAATAGTAAATTACAGCGTGTTCATAAAGTATTCACAGCTTAACAGATCAAAATATTTTTATTGCAAAAAGTGTTTTAAAAAAATAAGCATATCGTTACATCAAGCAATTTTCAATGCAAATTATTATTTTTATCAAAAAAAAAAAAATCATTACATGGGCATAATGATGAATAAAGGACATCAGTGCCCCATTAGAAATTGCACATGGCCATGAGCCTCTCGTTGGCTTGACCTTAATTAGCAAGAAGACAGTTCGAACAGACTATTACTCTGAGCTATATGTTTCGGTCAATTAGAATAATATAGCCAAATGAGCATTTATAACTGGATAGAGTACTCTG